TACAAGTTATCCTGCAAAATAAAAAATAAAATCGGCCGCTCGATCGTCGGGAAAAATAAATGTCGGAGCCTCTGATGCTCAATGTCTAGTCTCTTGCACTAAAAAAGAAACCTGAGCCACAGAAACGCCTTGATCCCATGCCTCCAGAACAAATGCTATGATATGTAGAAATACAAAATGCAGAGAAACAAAAGCCAGTTAATGCTAAAATAGAAAGGCAAATTTTGGGGTGCTACAGCGTGCTCTTTAGATGTGAGAGTTGAGTATAGTAGACTATCGGTGGAAGAGATTGACTCTAGAAAGAAGGTTATCTTAGATATTTGGTCCCATATATAGATTTGAGATGCCCAACTTTTTCAAAGATCTATAGTTAAGTGGCTTAAGGAGGGTGTTGTTAACACTAATTTCTTTCATGCTTGTATTAATAGTATGTCCAAAAGGAATGCAATTTTATCCTTTAAGGTTACCGGTGCTTGGGTGAAAAGGTGTATGAGATTCGTCAATAGACGGTTAATAATTTTTCCAATCATTTCAAATAACTTCTTCTTGATCAGCCTATGTGTGATGGGTTTTTTCCCATCTATCTTGGAGGACAACTGTGTTAGTCTTACTGCCCTATTTTCTCCTCTTTGAAATTGAACGATTGCTTTGTTTGATGGGAATAAGAGTCCTAGCCCTAATGGGTTCAATATCTTATTTTTTTTAGGAGGTTTTGGACCCCTATAGGGATGCGATTAGGATTATGTTTGAGAAATTCCATCAATTTTCTTATCTTCCTCATGGTTTTTCTTCTTTCTTTGTGAGCTTGAACCCTAAGGTCGATTCTTCTTCTCATATAAGATTTTTTGGCCTATTTCTTTGGTAGGGTCACATTATAAGCTTCTAGATAAAGTTTTGGCTGGGAGGATTTCTAGTGTTATGGATAAGCTTATCTCTTTTAACCAGTCACCCTTCCTTTATGGTAGGTTTCTAATTGATGGGGGTTTATTTGTGAATGAGTTGGTCAACCTAGCTAAAAAGCATAAAAATTATTGTTTCATTTTTAAAGTATATTTCAAGAAGCGTATTATTCAGTTAGTTGGTTCTTTCTGGATTATATGTTCTCTCGATTTTGTTTTAATGATAGGTGTAGAGGTTGGATTCATGCTTCTGTTTTCTTTGGTAATCTTGAGGTCCATGTTAATGGTTTCCCAAACTAAGAAATTAGAATCCAATGGGAGTTGAAGCAGGTGATCCCCTAGTTCCTTTCCTTTTTCTCTTGGTAGCTGAAGGACTGAGTGGGTGTTCTCTAGGGTTGTGGATCAAAAGCTTTTCACTGGTCTCTAAATGGGCTCCTCAGATTTGGTGGTCTCCCATCTTCGTTAAACGGGCGATATTATTATTTTGGAGGAAGCCTCCTTTGAGAACCATCATGGCTATAAAGTTTGTCCTCTTTATGTTTTAGCTAGCCTCAGGCTTTCAGATGAATTTTTCCAAGATTAGTCTCATTGGGGTTAATTGTGATCCAATATTTCTTAACCTAGCTTATGATTTTCTCCAGTATAAACATATGTTTCTCCTATTTAAGTATATTGGTCTCGCGGTGGGGGCGAATCCCCTTTTGTGTTTTACGTGGGAACCCTTAGTTAGTCTCATCACTAAGCCGCTTTACTTGTGGAGGCATAGGTATATGTCCATAGGAGGGCGTGTGGTTCTTCTTAATTTTGTTCTTAATGAAACTCGTATCTTCCTTTTATATTTTTCAAAGATGCATGTTAAGGTATGGCAGAAGATTGTGAAAGTTCATAGGAGGTTTTTGTGGGGTGATGTTAAAGGAGTGGGCCTAAGATCGATTGGGTTAGGTGGTGTGATGTTTTTAAATTTATGAAATTTGGGGACCTTAGTGTCCGCAACCTTCGACGGCTCTATTGGATAAGTGGAAGTAGTAATTACTTTCGAGAGACTTAGGGGTCTGGATATATATTTTTTTGCTAGATATGAAGTTATTTCGACTTCTTCTGTGTTATGAGGTAGAGCTACATGCCTTCGTTCTGTGTCTCCTTGGTGGATAGGGGTTTCCCTTCTAGTTCCAAATGGGAGGACCCCTCATAATAGATTTGGGACAATATGATTAAGAAATTTGGGTTTGGTCTTCTCACTAAGTTTTAGAAAGACCTTTGGGTTGAGCATATTCCTCTTAGAGTTAGGTTCCGTCATCTTTTTTCTATCTCTAATTAGAAGAATTGTTCCATGGGAGAGGTTGGTAAGTGGGAGGGGTAGACTTAGGTTTAAAATCTTAAGTGGAGAAGATCTCACCTTTTTTAACACGAGAAGGTTTTGATATTTGACCCACTCTTCGTAGTTATGGACTTTATCCCTTCCACTCAACCCGATAAGTGGTGGTGGAGCCTGTTTAAAGATAGTTCTTATTATCTTACTTTTGTGTACTCTTTTCTTCTCTCATGTGAGTTCCTAGATATCTATAGGTCTCGTTGGTGAAATTTGACTCTCTCTAGTATCTAGAGTAACTTGGCCCTCTCTAAAGTTTTTTTTCTCCTGGAAACTCCTGTAGGATATGACTCATACCAGAGAAAATTTACTCAAGAGAGGGGTCGTCATTGGTTCACAGGGTATCTCTTGCCATTTTTGTTCGAGGTTTCTAGAGTTCTCATCTCGTTTGTTTGTGACTTATGATATAGTTGTTTTTGTTTGGTATAGAATTTGCATTTGGTTAGGCTGATCTTTAATCTTGCCTAGGAATTCTTTCACCCTTTTTCATATGTTTTTCCCTATTGATTACAAGTTTAGGCTTAGGGCTGGTGGCTTATAATTTGGCATGTTGTGGTATGTTCGATCTGAAATTTTTTAAAATGATAGTGTTTTCAAGTAAATTGGTGATATGGAAGGACATGGAAGATATGAATATTCTTTTGAGTTGCAAATAGTATCTTAGTAAGTTTGTGGAAACTCTTATATTTTCTGGACCTGCCTCGAGAACCCTATTCGACATCTTAGTCAATAGCAACATGAATGTCTTCGACCTTTTTAGATGCTCTTTCTACTCAATGGAGATTAGTGTTTTTTTTTCTTGTCTTTGATATTATCTCTTTAATATTAATATTATTTCTCTCTCTAAAAAAATTAATTACTCTAGAGCAATCTGACCAAGATTCCACATAACTATAACTCATTTTACCGTACCTATAAACAAAACTATAGTATGTCACATGCACAGTAATAACCCTATAACAAAACAGCAAAATGAAAAACATCATGATAGGAAGAAAAACCCCTTGAGCAACCATAATTAACTTGAGAACCCATGATGAATGAGATATGATGAAGTTAGTTATGAGGTATTTAAAAGGCTGCAAAATTTATGCATTGAATGAAAGTGAATGGATATGTTATTTCAACTATCCTCACTGCACATCAATATGTCAACCTAAATTCAGCAATTTGTCATCTTTTATTCAAGTTTCCATTACTCTCTTGAAAATACATGGAGCCCATTAATGATGTCAAGCCACAAAAAAGTACTTAAACTGTCAATATCTGCCTCCTCTACACCCTCTTTGTATAAAATCCCTGACCCACTTTGTAGAAAGGTTCTAGTGTAGATTAAATTCTTATTGGTTTTAATGGAAAATGATCATTTTTTCTATTTAATGGTAGCATTAATTTTCTTGTTAAACAAATTTAAATTTAAGTGGTTTGCATTTAATTACTTTTTGTTTTTATTCATTTATTATATATGGGTTATTTAATATAAATCAAGAATGAAAAAAAAAAATCAAATTTCTCATCATATAAATTATCTGTTACAAGTTACAGATATAAAATAATATAATAATCATCAATATTGTTGACTTTTTGAATATCACAACATAAGTAATAAATTTCTGATTTTCTTTTTTTGTAATTTTATTGATGTTATACGACATATAATAATTATATTTTATTGAAAATGACATATGAAAGAGAGTTATAAATGGAAGGTGACATATGATAGAGAATAAAAAAATTTATTAATAAGAATATAAAAAATAAATTAATAAGCCAGATAAATAAATCCACACACACATATAATAAGTTCATATAAATGTTAATATACACAGAGAATATAACAAATTTTTAAATAAAAATGTATTATGAAAAATGATAGCAACCTATTTTCTAATACACTATTTTTAGAACTTTCTCATTAAGCTTGAAATTCATATTCCACCAAATTTATGGTTAAAGGTTATGATTTACAAAAAATATACTTTAAATAAAAAATGCATGTTAAAAACTAAAAAAAGAGTATTTTAATACTTCTCTGTTATTCATTCAAATGAAGAATGCTTTATAGAACAATTATATATAATTTAATTTTTTTTTTATTTAAAATTTCAAGTTTCACAATTTTCGGTTGAGTTATTATGATCTTTAAAACCACTCTACCATCTTGCATCACACAAACATTTCCCTTTAGTAATTTTCACAGCACCAATAAATATTGAATGAGAGAAAAAGAAGATAGCAAGAGAGTTATTACAACCAAATGTCATTCATGAATATTAAAGTCTCTGCCACAAGAAGTCAATGCCCGAACCATACACAATTTTCATGCCTTATCTAAATTTCTAGACTAGCAAATAACCAACTATGGTGCGTTCTTGACTCCTTCTAAACACACCAATTTAAAAATAAAAATAAAAATAAAAACCACTATAATACTTTAGTTTAATTCAAACCCTAAAACCAAAAAATAAAAATATAGTTGTTGGTGTGAAAATTTTTATCAACCAAAATACAGCTCTCGCATGAGCAACATCAACAGCAGCAGCAAAAGAGCAGTACATAATTTATAACGAGTGTTTTTGTGATGAATGTCTTTGATGAGAAAGCATTCAAGTCTCTCAACTAACTAAAAAACTTGATATTGATTACTACTACCACCAACAGCAACAAATAAAAACTCTCTCTTTCTCTCTCAGGTTCTGAAACCATATTTAAGAATATTATAAATATATTCATCAAGAACTAGGGCAATTCAAAGCAGCTTTTATGTGTTGGACAGTCTCACCAATAAGTCCATTCACAGTTGCAACAGACTCCATGTTAAGTTTTGCAGATGGTAAACTGCTTACCATTATTTGAAATGCAACTGTTATCAATGATCCTCCGCTATTATTATTTCCTATGTTTGTGTTTGAGCTTGTTGATGCTCCGTCGCCATTATTACTGCCACTTCCTCCTTGAATATTGTTATTATTGTTGTTGGTTCCTTGAATATTGTTATTATTGTTGTTGGTGTTATCGGTTTGGTTTCCGTCCGATGTAATTGTGAAACCGGACGGGAGTAATGGAATGTAGGACGGATCTTCGCCGCTCATTGCTATGTTGATAGCTGGTAAATCAACCGGACAGTAGACTACTAGCGAACCTGATGAGTCCACACAGCTTTCTTGAAGTATCAGCATGTTGTTCTGACTTGTGTTAAAAGCCTGAAAAATTTTAAAATTAACAAAATACGTTAGAAACAACAAAAATGGGCCCATTATGGACAACTGCAAGCTGTGTCTTCGTTTGGAGACACAGCTTTTAGAATGTGCACACGTGACCTGAAGCCTAATTTCAGGTCACGAGGAGGGGTGATAAACTGATAATGTTACATATGCACCGAAAATCGTCCTCGTGAATGAAAAACAAAATGGATAAAATAAATAAATGAAGAATGTCTTACCCTAAGTACAGAAATGCAGTTGCCAGGGTGTGAACCATTTGCTATATGAGCAACTTCTTGAACAGCATTACCATGGGAAAGAACATCCCACTAATCAAAACCATAAAAAAGCTTTTAATGCTAAGGTCATTCATTATAGGTAACATAAATAATACTAGTAATTAAAACTAGTGTATAACGAACCTGGGGTCTTTTCCTTTCATCTTTGAAGAAACTGAAAACAGTTTGTGGAGGAATAGGTAACCAAATGGTAGTAGCAGCACTTAGCACAATACCATTAGGCTGACCAGGATCTGTACTCTTTCTAACAGTAACTCTGACTCCAGTCTCATTCGCAGAAGAAAGTGTGGTCCATCTATGGCTAGCTGATGCACTTATACTTGCACAGAAATTTGTTACCATTCTTTGTGCTAGCTTCATCATGCTTCTCTTCCCCTCAGGTGATGGAATCACTGAAAAATTCCAATACCAACACTTGTTAGTTACCTACACGAACCTTTATCTTGCGTTAAAATGCAGACACATGCTTGTATTGTGTCTGCAGACTTATGGTTACAAACTGCAATTTAAAACTATAAAAACTATGAAGATGTATATATTAGTATTACCTCCCCCAAGATCGCGGGTAGAATTGGAAGACACCATAAGACAAGCAAGTCTTTCGCACATTCTTTGAAGAGTAGTGAGCCATCTTTCAGCTCCAAATGCGACACTGCTATAGATAACATTTCTATAAAGCCTATGAAGTGGATTTTTATCTTCAATCTCAACATGTTCAATCCAAGTAACCTATAAAATATAGAAAAGTTACTCAATTTGCATCATGTTATAATGGAATGAAAATTGATGCAGTGTTAAATTAAAGGATATACTAATTATTACCTTGGAATATCCATTAGGCATGTCTCGAATGAAGCAACCGGACGGAAGACGATGGCATCGAAATTGTGAAGCGAATTGGTTGTCATTAGGAAAATCATAGGAAACATCAACTATAGCCCATAAACCTTGCTCAATCTGTTGACAGTGACGCAGAAAGTAGAATTCTCTGATAGGAACAAATGGCGAAAGCACTTGCAACTCTTCGTACATCTAAAAATTTCAAAAGAAAAATCATTCAAACATATGAGTACTGTGTTCGACGAATTTTCTAAAATCATTCAAACATATACAAATTTTCTAAAATCATTCAAACATATACAAATTTTCAGACTATTAAACATACCAATTGTAAAGAGCCATTATCCATCATTCCTGGAACAATATTTTCGATTGTCTTCGCCATTGTCACAATAGTAGGAAATAGTTCCATCCACTTGTTCTACAAAATCAATCACGAAATTAGCATTATTAAGTTGATTTAGTCGAAGTTATGAATTAAAATCTAAAAAGAACTGAAGCAATTAATATAAGAAATGCTAACCGGATCCATAAACATTTCAACCAGAGTTAAACTATTCATGATCACAACACCAGAATCCCTAGAAGCTTCAATCCGAATATTCGGATTCTTCAACCGATTACCAGTCTTATCGAACATCATAGCATAGGCTTCAAGGTTAAGAACATCTTTTCCATCAGTGTTTGATTTCATCCACAAAGGCTCATCAGTCTGTAAAAGCCTAACCAGTTCGCCCATGGCACTTGTAGCAAGGTCAGACATGTGCGACTTTTCGAGATCAGAAAGACAAGCAGGCTGGTAAGGAACCATTGGCATGTTTGATGAACTTCCTGGTAAAAGATCAAGATCAAGTGAAGGCCCTCCAACCATTCCATGTCCACCAAAATTTCCCATTGATAAATCCAATGATGACATGTGAATTGGTGAAACTGGTGGAAGCTGTGAAATTGGTCTTCCAATGTATTTTGCAGCAATGCTAGATACTCTATCAAGCTACAATGTTCAAAAATCACCAAAAATTTACTCATCAAATCAAAATCCAAGAACAACAATCGTAGCCGCAATAAAACGGAATTTGAAGTCGAATTAAATGTGTTACGTCCTATAAAATTTATGATCTTTCAATTTCCTATAATGCAAGGACTAAAATTAAACAAATTTTTATAGGAACTAAACTTAAATAATAGTAATTTTATAAAAACCAAAAGTATATGTATCCAAAAATTTTATATGAAATAAATGAGAATGAATAAACACATTGCATTAGATGAAGCTTAATGAATTTTTACCTCTTCTTTAAGTTGAGCATTTTCAATTCTCAACTTTTGTTCATCAAAATAACAATCATCATTGATTGGAGGACCACCACAAGAGGGGCAGATGACATTTTTAAGGGCTTCCCTTATAGCTATATTCTCACATCTTATTTTATCATTCTCTGCCCTTAGGGTACAATTATCAGCTCTTTCATGTTGTGCCTGTTTTGTTCAAACCAAAAAATAAATCATTGTAAATTTATACATAAATACAATAATCTCTTGTATACTAGTGTAAGTCGAGGCCCGACTTACCTAAACTTTATAATTCACTACAAAAACATAGATACACAAACCCTGACCCGTGAGGGTCGAGACAAACAAACCTGACCAGTGCAAGTTGAAACTCAACTTAATTAAACTTTATAATTTAGCATAAAAACCAACACAAACACACATGCACACGCAAACCGCAAACCCTGACCTACGAGGGTCGAGTTCCAACTTACCTAAATTTTACAATTTATTTTTAAATAAAACAAAAAAAATTACTTAAAAAAATATAATTACATTTACACCCTAGACTTAAAATTAATAATACCTTCATCTGAGTCCTTCTGTTCTGAAACCAAAACTTGATCTGTCTAGGAGCCAAGGCTAATTCTCTGCTTAACTGCAACCTTTGTTTCTCATCAGGATGTGGACAATCCTTGAACATACTGAAAAATTAAATTTAAAAAGTCATACAAAATATTTTAAAATGGTCCAAAAAAAATAATATTTTCAACTGTTCATTAAAAAAGAGAGAGAAACTGAAAGAAAAAAAATGACTCTTACGATTCAAGCCTTTGAATCTGATTAGCAGTGTGACGGTGGTAACGTTTCTTCCTCCTCTGAGATTCAGAAGAACCATCATGGTGATGATGATGATGATCACCAGGGGACCCACTTCCTCCACTGTGATACTCCATTACTCCTTCTGATCAAGTTCTGTACTTTTTTACACCAAACAAAAACCCATTAAGAAAAACCAGACAAAGCTTTTAAATATGAGAAAGATGAAAAAAAAATAAAGATTAAAACTTTTTTACAATAAACGATTTTGTTTAAGCAAAAACCTCAAGGGCTATGAAGCTATATCGCTATGGCTATGGCTATTTTTTTCATACATAAATAATAATCTAAACACATACATTTTGCACTGATATATGATGATGATGAAGACGACGATGATGATAATGATGAAAAACTATAATAAATTAACAAAAACAATTTATGGAAGAATAGTGGAGTGATTTTTGGAGTGAGATATGGAGAATCTTATTAAACCATGGGAGAAGAATAATTCATAATTCATAATTCATTCATATGATTATGATATTATGATATGATTATTATGATTATTCAATCAAAGAATAAAAAACCATTAGAATAAAGAAAAAACTCACTCACCACTCTCTCTTTCTCTTGCACCTTTGTTATTGTGCTATGAATGGTATACACTATGAAGAGAGTGTATAAATTTATATATATGATGAGAGAGTGAGAGAGAGTGTGTCAAAAGGTTTTGAAAAGAAAATGTAACCGATGGGAATGAATTTAAAGCATTGAGAAAGAAAAGGAAGAGACTTTAAGGTTCTATTCTATGCATATTTTTTTGTCTAGTATTCTATGTATATTATACAATTTTACATTTCAAATATTATTTTTTTTTCTATTTTATAAATCATATTAGATATTATCGGCGCCGCCAACTCGCCAACAATTGTAAAGATTAATCACTCGAGTTATTTAGTATACGACAATAAACAAAATTTATAAATAGTATTATTATTATTATTGAAAATATTCATGAAATTAAGAAGAAAAAAATTATCTAATTTTTTGAAGGGTATTTTTTTAATTTTCTCTCTCTAGGTATGACCCCCTTGACACTTAAATGACATCGCCGGTTTTTGGTCGCCGGTGCATTTAGGGATGAAATGACATAAATAACCTTAGCTAGGTTTTTTGTGTTTTTTTTTTCGTTTTTTCTCTTTCATCATTTATGTTTGTGCCTTAATTCTCTTTCTTTGTTTAAATATTTTACATACTAAGGTCACATACACACACGTTGCAATGTGTGTAAAAGTCAAACGTTGGTGTCCTATTGGAGGAGTTAGGGAATAGAATACACCAAAGTGTATCATTTTTTTCTCTTTTGGTTCTCAATTTTAGCTATGGATGATACATATGATTCATGGTTGTGGGGTAACATTTTTTTCTAGCTGTTCTCAATTCAATTTTTGGGTTTGGAATAAAGATATTTGATAAATAAACAAATTACTAGTAATAATTTAGTCATATAAATAAAAGGGCAACTAAGACATTAGTTAAATGTATTTTTTTGGTACAAAGTATTAATTTATTTAAATTTTTAAGGACATTATTTATTATTACTATTATTTTAAAAGTTAGGATCAGATATTGTAATATTTTATAGTAATAAAAAAGATATTTTAAAATAAGTATTAAAAGTATTCAAACTCAAAAACATAAATAAAATTTGACTTGCATAAATATTCAATATACATGATATTCAGTGAACAACTTTAGTATTAAAAAACAATTAACATGACCAATGTACTATTCAAAAAAAACATAAACATGAGTTGTTTTTGACTTTTTTTATGAATCACTTTTCATGACATAATTTAATTTGGTCAATAATAAATATAGTTAAAAATATATTTTATTATATTTTCTCAAATATTTATTTTGTCGAATTAATAAATCTTTTTAAAAAGTATTCCCTCTATTTTTTATTAATATATCACTTAAAAAAATATTTTTTACAAAATAAATTGTTTTATAATATCAATAAATATTTAATATTATTTTTTTCTATTCTATTCTTAAGGACTTATTATTATTATTATTATTATTATTATTATTATTATTATTATTATTATTATTATTATTATTATTTTATCATTTTAATTTATCTTCCACATATCATATCATGATGGATCGTAAATTTTTTTATAATTTTTCTTTTTTATACAACACGATATATAACAAACAAATAGAAAAAATAATCAAACTCCAAGTACAAAAATAAATGAAATTAAAAAAAAAAAAATATAAAAACATTGATTTGCGTATAAAATTCATTGAACGGATTTAACGGTATCTACGTTTATATATATATATATATATATATATATATATATATATATATATATATATATATATATATATATATATATATATATATATATATATATATATATATATATATATATATATATATATATATATATATATATATATATATATATATATATATATATATATATATATATATATATATATATATATATATATATATATATATATATATATAAAGTATGCATCATTTTATTTTATGTTCAATTATATTTTCTTCACACTACTTTTAATTTGTTGAGTAATAAAATTTAGTTTAAATTTTATTATTATATTTTAAAAAAACTTTTGATTATTATTTATCTTATTTTTTAGTCAACTTTTATTTTTGTAGGACTCATAAATTATTAATAAAATAATGTGTGACATTTGGTCGCTTTTAATAAAAAAGAATGATTTTAGTTTTATTTTTTAATACGGTAAATTATCATTTATCTTAAAATCACAACCTTATTATTACACTTAATAATAAAAGACAATTAAAATTATAACTTAAGTTATACTTTCATTTTAAGAATTATGTGTATTTATTTTATTTATATTTATTTATCTTATCCATTGTATTTATCTTATTTATTGATGTAATAAAACTCTAGCTCTAATCAATTGTAATTTAAAATAAAATTTTAATTATATTCTACTTTTAAAACCTTATCATTGCTTATGGTTTTATGGTTTTAAGTTGTTCACAAATTTCAGAAAAAATACATATCAAGAAAAGTTTTATTGAATTCTTTAGTAATATAATTGAATTTTTTAATAAACTATTTTGACACGTGCTTCAATTCATTAAAATTACAATTATAAGTGATAATAATCATCTCTTAATTATTAAGTTATAATGTTCCAAAGATAAATACAACTTTGATTTTAAAATCTAAAGTTTTGAAATGAAATGGAGTAACCAAATAAGTTTGAAATGATAACATGCAATCACTTTTTTCTTGTTCAAAAAAATCAGATGGCAGATATAAAATTAATTTCACCCAAAATAATATGGCATAAAATAATATATGAAAAAAAACTTTCTTATTCCAAAGCATCTCATTAAAATCTTGTCTCTTTTGTTAGTCAATTTATAAATATGGGAAAAAAATATCTCAATGTAATATACAATCTTTTTCATCTATACTGTGAAAATTATTTACACTGTTTATTAAAAAAAAAAATACATCGTTTAACAATTTAGACTCTTTCGATTGAGTATCTTTGTAATTAATGAATAATATCAACAGACTATTGAAAAAATATCCTTAATTACACTATCAGCATTTAAAGTTAAAATCTTAACGTATTGTTTGAAATGTAACAGTCAAACAATACATGTTTTATGAAGAATGTAATTTCGAAAAATTGCGAAAAACAACAAACAAGAAAATTAATAGTTATTTGATTTTTTTTTATTTGACATTTTTTAATTATTTTTTAATTTGAATTTTTTTATAATTAATACTTTAAATTAAAATATTAATACCAGTTATAGGAAGACTTATATTACTATTTTTTTTTTTAATGTAACATAAAAATGAAATATTAGACCCTCCATCTTAAAAAAGATTGTTCCATTTCCAAAAATACATTAATTGTGTTTTTAATAAATACCTTTGACTTTCTTTTCAAAACTGGCTAATAACGTAAATTTTGATTATTTTATATGTTGATATTCCAAAGACTAATCTCAAAAATATATTTTAATTTTAACTTTTTCTATTCGAAATATTTATTGAAAAACTTGTGTATAATAAATTGATTTATATTTTTTAAATATATAAAAAAATTGACTTATATTTTGATATAAAATATTTTCTAAATGAAAATTTATAATTAGGGACTAAAGAAGTAATTTTGTTGGAAAATGATACATATTTCTATATTTAATACAAAATTAATTAATTTTTGTCAATTATATCATCTATTTATAAAAATATAATTTTTTATCAATCTACTTAGAAAACTTAAAATTAATAAAAAAATTAATGTATGTTCGAAAATAAGCATATATTTTAACTTTTTAATAGTCAAATAATAAATTAATAAATAAGAATGAAAGTCCGAAAAAAATACACAAAAAAGTCAATTAGTATAAGAAGTATTAGGCTGCAAAATAATAATATGCAAAATAACTATATATATTTTTAATAATCAGTTACAGGGTTTTGGGGTTAGTTTGATTTTAAGCTAGCCAGTCATTTGGTAAAAAAAAAAAAAAAAAAAAAAAAAAAATATATATATATATATATATATATATATATATATATATATATATATATATATATATATATATATATATATATATATATATATATATATATATATATATATATATATATATATATATATATATATATATATATATATATATATATATATATATATATATATATATATATATATATATATATATATATATATATATATATATATATATATATATATATATATATATATATATAATTCAATTTAAATAATTTTATTTTCTAAGTAGAGTTAATTTAATCCATTTAAGTATGATTTAATTTAAATATTTTTTGGTTTATCTAAATTAATACTGTAGAATAAAAATAAAAAAGTATAGACTGTTTTTAAATAAATAAATAAAAAATAGATTAAATTGATAAACTATATATATATATATATATATATATATATATATATATATATATATATATATATATATATATATATATATATATATATATATATATATATATATATATATATATATATATATATATATATATATATATATATATATATATATATA